ATATTCGTTGATAATAGTGAATATTCTTTAGATATTTGAACAATTTTTCTATTTCATTCTCTTCATCTTGCAGAATTGTTTTCATTTCCGTTCCCATTTGAAATTTTTTCCTTATATTGGTGTACCTTCTACATTCTAATAGTATATGTTTTACTGTTCTGGGTACTAGGCAATGTGTGCAAGTTGGAGCTTCTAATCCTCGCAGGAGGTATCCATGGGAAAACTCACAGTGGCCAATTCTTAGGCGACATAGTATCACTTCTTCTCGTCTAGACTTTCTGTTTGATGTGTTCCATTTGATACATGTTGTTTTTATTTCCTGAAGTTTTGCCGAACTCATTTCCCATTCAATGTTCCATTTATTTTGAAAGGAGCAGGCAAGTTGGTGTGTCCAATCTTCTCGAGGAATAGCATCAATTATTGTGGTCCGTGCAGTTCCTTGACGCCGGGCAGAGTTGGCAGCAGCATCGGCTCTCTCGTTACCCAGGATACCACAATGTGATGGGGCCCAGATAAGGACTATGTTTTTATTTTCTTCCTTTAGTTCACCATATACGTTAAAAATGTCTGTTATAACAGGATGCTGGTTCGTTGATTGTTCTATGGCTTCTATTACGGACATTGAATCGGTTACGATAGCATGGTTTTTGAAGTGGTTGCTGCGGATGTGTAAGAGTGCTTCTTTTATGGCCGTGGCTTCTCCCGTAAAAATAGAACATTCTCCTGAAAGTTTGTACAGGAATTCTTCACTGTCTGTAACGACTGAAAATCCCACTTGGTTTTCGGCTTTTGATGCATCTGTGTACAATATTTTGTAATTGCAGTATTTATTTAATAATTCTAGAAAATAATATTTTTTTTCATCCGAAACTAGAGTTTTTTTTGAGATGTGGGACATATATTTTTCTGTAGGAATATTCGGAGGATTCCACCTTGGAAAATTTTTATCTGGGAGCTTTTGGATGCAATTTAGGTTCATATTGAATGCTAACGTTGTTTGGATTATATTTCGCTTGAAACTGCTATTGATTGAAACTGTTTCTGGATCTAATATGATGTCTCGTAAGGGATGTCGTGGAAGTGACATTATTTTGGCTCCATATTTTGCAATCATAAATGCTCTTCTTGTCTCGAGGGATGGTTCGGCTCATTCTGCATATAGACTCTCAATTGGCGATGTTCTATAAGCTCCTGAGCATATCCTCAAGGCAGCATTATGGATTGGGTCAAGAATTTTTAAAATACTTGTTTTTGAGGTTCCATATACACATGCTCCATAATCTATTTTGCTTCGGATCATCGCTTTGTATACCTTTAATAGACTGCTTCTGTCAGCTCCCCAACTAGAATGTGAAAGACACTTTAGGAGGCCAAGTCTTTTTAAACATTCTTGTTTAAGACCTTTAATGTGGTCAGTCCACTTTAAGCTTTTATCTAGATGGATTCCTAGGTATTTTTGGTGATCTTCAAACAAGATGTCGGCCATCCCTAATTTTAGTTTAGGATTCGTAGAGCATCCTCTAATTCTGCATATATGCATGGCCTTTGTTTTATTTATTGAAAAATTAAAACCGCTATTTCGTGCCCATTTTTCTGCTTTTCTCAGTGCTTTCTGTAGTTTCCACTCAATAAAATAGAGAGATTTGCTGCGAACTAATAATAATACATCGTCAGCAAACATTATGATTTTAATAGGCCATTTGAAATTCGGTGGTAGATCATTCATAGCAATCAAAAACAGAGTTACACTTAGAGGTGAACCTTGGGGCGTGCCATTTTGAGAAACGTGGATTGACGACAAGGAGGACCCAACTCTGACTTGATATTTTCTTTCTTTAAGAAAGTTCTCAATGTATGCCTTCAATTTTCCCTGAACACCATAATTATCTAAGATTTGCATTACGCGGCCTCTTAACATGGTATCATAAGCCTTTTCCAGGTCCAAAAAGACAGCAACCAAATGTTCTTTTTGAGAGAATGCTTCGTCTGCTTCATGTTGCATTAACAAAAGTGCATCAGTTGTGGAATGTCCTTCTCTGAAACCAAATTGGTGGGGGGTAAATAGTTTGTTTCGTTCCATGTAATCAACAAGTCTATTGTTTACCATTTTTTCCTGTAATTTAGAGAGGCACGATAGTAATGAAATAGGACGAAAGTCATTTGGGTGGGTTGGAATATCTTTTTTTGGGACCGGAGTGATAATTGAGGTTTTCCATAGCCTCCCTAAGCTATGGAAAACCTCAATTATCACCAGCATCCCAGATCTCGTTGTAT